GTTTAAAACCTTTTTTTTTTTTTTGCCTTTTGTTTTTTTAGGGAGATTTGCCTTCACTTTCTGCCCCCTGGACTCAAACTCCTCTTAGTTGTCATGGGAGTAATGTCCTTGTTGGCCGATTTCTAGTTTAGGGCCTAAATGTCCCTAACGAAGACACAGCAATAAGGACCTCCCAGGGGTTCTAACCTGTCATCACTCTATCAACATCTAAACATAATGTAGGTATTTATGAGGACAGGAGCAGTTGGTCATAGTAACCAATCAGCTTCTCTCTTCAGTTTGTTCAGTTAAACCTAGAAAATAAAAGGTGGATGCTGATTGGTTGCCATGGGCAACTGTTTCAGATTTTGTCTGCTCCAGTTTTGATAAATCCTCCTCTGTGTTATTTTGTTTGAGTTGGAGATGATAGATGTATGTTATGTCGGAATCTGAATGTATCCTTTCCTGAGGCACATGGGTGTTGGTATTGACGAGCCCCTTCTGAATGTGATAGTTGTCTGGTTATCGCTCTGACCAGCCACAACAAGTATGTATTGCTATGAAGCCAGACATCCTTGTTTGTGTGCTTGTACCAGGTAAGGGGCACAGAGTATTGAATGAAGAAGGTAAACATGACAGCCAGGATGTGACAATGAGAAGTAGCAGCCTCCATGTCTCTCAGGACGGCTTTGTTATGTGAAACTACAGGTCCCAGCATGCCATGTGCTAGCTGATCTTGGTTTCTTTTGTTCAAGATTCATCTAAGGATTCTTTTTTTTCCTGGTTGACAACCAGCATATGGTCGGTCCTCTTTTTACCCCTTAATGTAAATGTCGGTCTTCAAGAAAGCTGTTGCTGGAGGTTTCCATTTTCCTCCCTGGTTTGTTTACAAAGGATTCATTCAAACTTTCCTGCACATCCAAGCTCTGTTTTCAGTTCCTGTTGTTCTGATATCAGTGGTGGGTGTGTTCGGTCTTCTCTTCAGCAACACTCAGAGATGACTTCATAGAAATAACTTTTTTGTTGCCTGGTCATGTGTATTCCTGCAGCTGACACTGGATTAGATGTAGAGCTGCAGCTAACGATTATTTTCAAAATCGATTAGTTAGCCGATTATTAAGTTCAATTAATCGGTTAATCGGATAAACTATAAAATAAAGTTTAAAAAATGGCTCCAGTGATGGACTACTAGTTTGTATTGAGGTTGTAGTCCATCACAGGAGCAAGCTTGGACCGGTGGAAGTAAAAAAGAAAAAAAAAAAAAGATAGTGTGGTGTGCAATATAGTGAAATGGAAAGTGTAAAATTATACAGCAATGCATGCAGAATGGCAACGGCTATATAGGACTACAAAACCCAGCAAAAGCACATTATACACCACAATGCAGAATACAACAAATCCCAGCAATAGTACATAATAGTTGGCGGCATTCTGCATTGCACTGTATAATGTACTATTGCTGGGTTTTGTAGTCCTCTATAGCTGGTGGTATTTAGCATTGTACTACTTTATAATGTATTATTGCTGGGATTTGTTGTACTCTTCTACAGCTGGTGGTATTCTGCATTGCGCTGTATAATGTATTATTGCTGGGATTTGTATTCCTATGTATAATATACAGCACAATGTACCATCAGCTATAGAGAAATACAAATCCCAGCAATAGTACATTATACATACAGTGTATAATGTATTGCTGGGATTTGTATTCCTATGTATAATATACAGCACAATGTACCATCAGCTATAGAGAAATACAAATCCCAGCAATACATTATAGAGCACCATGTGTGGGAAAGTGCAGTCTTCCAGCAACGTGCTTCTGAGATCGGACCTGTCTATCAGCAGCTGTCATCCCCCCACACCTGCTCCTCCTTACTACATCTCCCCGCGTCCCTGTGCCGATCGTGGATGGGCAGGAAATGTGAGGCGGGGAGGAGGTGCGGCGTGTGGAGCGTGGATGCAAGCGGGTCTGGCAGCGGCGAGCGTGAGGTGGGGAGGAGGTGCGGCGCACAGCGTGTGGAGCTGTGAACAGGGCCAACTGATCAGAAGCCGATTAATCGATTATTGAAAAAGTTGACAACTTTTTCAATAATCGATTATAATCGATTATGTCGATTAGTTGTTGCAGCCCTAATTAGATGTATGCTGGTTTGACTTCATGTCTTTCCTTTGCTGTTTCACAATGTGTATAATACACATCTTGCTAGAAAGCGGCTTCTCTGAAGACTGTTTTTTTCTATTTTTCAAGTGCATTGCTTGTTTGTTGTTTCAATGTAGCTTGTACAAAAACCTTTACAATGACATTAATTGCAGTGGAGAGGGATATCTCTGCTCTCCTGCTAAGAAATGCTGCAGCCTGTTTTCTTTCTGTAGTTAGGATTGGTATATTGACAAGTGATCTATAAATGATTTAATACAGTCACAGTTAAGCCTGTTTGCTGCCAGGGAGGTATAGCTGGCTGTAATTACTAGCGCTGTCAGGGAGTTACAAGTTGGCTTGAAGTGGTAGTTTTTTTGTGTAGTAAGACTGATTTCTTTCTTACGATTTCTTCTGATCGGATCTCTTACACTTAGAACATGTTCTGTTTTTTTTTATCAAGTGACTGAACAAGTAATGCAAGTGGTCAGGGCACCTAAAGAAGAAAAGGTTTTTTTATCCCCCCATAATGCATTTACAAGAACGTCTTCCATAAGAACGATGTACTGTCTTCTATCTTTGTCTGATTGGCTCAGGAATTTTACATTTGTCTGGCTCAGGAATTCTATGGTCTGTGTGTTTAGTGGTTATTTTTAGTTTGTGTATATTTAGTTGGCTAACATAGCTGTTTCATTTAATAAGAGTAAAGGCAAAATGTAGTTTTGAGCTGTTGATTATAATGTATAAGTATCTGCAAGACACTTAAAGTTATGCTTTAGCAGTCCTTTTGTAATACTATATTTTTATATACAGTGCTTAGTATACATGTGCGTGATTTTATATATCAGAAATAGAACACAAAACTAATTTAGGAAAATAATTAGTAAAATCCTGTTCATGTACATACATTTCAATGTCTTAATTGTTTGTAATGCAGTCTTGACCCAGATACGTTGCAATCCATTTTTCTGGATTATCAGGATTGACAGGAAGAAGTGAGTGCAGTAGATGGCACTGCTGGGTCATGGTATATGTCTGTATCTGTGTGTATTTTGGAACGTTCGCTATACATTATTGGCTTGGTTGAATGGTAGTGATTTCATTTGCTGTCAAGTGACTAAAAGTCTTTTCCTTATATTCTTTTTAAACAAGAAAACATTTTATTTCATTCTCATCGTCTGTTCAGTTTTTTTTTTCCTACTTTTTTTTTTTCTTTTATAAAATTCCAAAGTAATATAGTGGAAGAGAAACAGTTTTATTGCAATCCATTTTTATTAAACCTGGAGTAAATGGACTAGTAGTTTTATTCACAGGTAGATGCTACTTATCGATTTGTTGGAGCTCTAAATATGTTTGTGTTTAGGAATGTTCTTCCACAGTTAGACTTTAGCTGCTGCGTTCAAGTAAATCATGAGCAGTGCAGAAACCAACTTGGCAAGATTTCTCCCAAATTTCCAATGCTCAATGTCTGATCCTGATCTGCCTCTGTTGGCATAGAAGGGCTGGTCAGAGCTTTTAGTTATCATAAGGGTGTTCTACTTTTATTGGCTGCTGTCTGGGCTCTTACTTCAGATGACACTGTTTTGGGGATTATCAGAAGTGGGTTCAGTCACAACTAGTTTTTCTGCTGGCTTTAAAAAAAATACAATGTATTTTCTCATTTTACATTGTAGGTCTAGAGATAGTTGTTAGGCTGTAAGTGGAGTGGCTTTATGATAGTTATGTTTGCACTATTAGTGCAGCAGGAAATATACTATTTAAATTAAAAGTTTTTTTTTGTGTGTGTTTAACTGTATGAACAACTCCTGTTCTAATCAAACTAATCAGAGATTGGTTAAGCACTCATCAGTTATATTATTTATATCTATTTGAAGTCATGCAATATATTATACAATCGTATACAAATGGC